TGTATGCTTGTAAACATGATAAATATTAAAGTTTAATACAACATTTTTCTAATGTGATTGATACTGTACTTGGAGAAAAAGTTAAACGTAAATCCACAATAATTTTTTATTAGCATTTAAAGCATTAAAAGCATTTAAAGAGTTAATTTTTAACGTTTGAAGTTAATTTTAAATATACCTAATTCAAAGTATTAATCTTAGAAATTTGAAATTATGCGCTGTTACTTAAAACTAAAATTATTCATTTCTATACCCAATAAAATTTTGAGTAATTTTAAGCTATTTACAGTAATTGGAATTTTAGTCTTCATAAACATTCTAAAAGTATAAATCTGTGCTGAAACTTGAGGATCTAAAAAATATGTTGTCATAATTTTTGATGTATTTATTAAAATTTGAATACAATTTGATATTACAATAAATAATAACAATTTTTTTTTGTAATTTAAAAATATTTGTGGGTACTTAAAATATTTTTATGTACATTACTATATTTTATTATTCATGATGAAATTTAAAAATATATAGATTCATTTTTAGCTTTTGTCTAATTACACTATACTATAGTATGTATTGTATTGTATGTATCACTAATGTTAGTTTAAACTACTATAATATCAATATAAATATTAAATATATATTAAAATATACTTAGTGATAAAAGCTAAACTTATAGGTCTTCACTCTCAGTAGTTTTTCATRTGTATTAATTTATCAATGAATCAAAATTTAACACATTATTAATTATTATTTATTAACTCATTATTTGTGATAAGGTACACTTATAATTTACTATAAGTAGATACATATTATACAGTAGAGTTACTTAGATTTTTGTCTTTCAAGTTTAAAATTTAATTTTAGGATAGGCCACAGTAAATATTTTAAAAATATCCCATGTAGTGATTACCATCATTCATCAAAACTTAAAATTAATTTTTATAAACATATTTGCATTTATTGTTTTGTTGACAATAAGTGAATTCTTTTACAAAAGATTATATAAATATATGGATTTTTTTTTTGACCTTTTTAAACCTGAGTATTTTGGCTTGAAATCAAATTACAATATTAAATAAAAAATTTAAAATGTTTACTAATAGGTTATATTGCACTTAAAAGCTTAATTAATTGGTTTTTAGGTGTATTTTAYAATTATGATTTAGATTTTACACTTGAATATTTAGTAATTTCAATTGCAATGGATTTGACTTGGCTTTTTCATTTTTATTCTTTCTTTTGCTTTTATTAATATATTTTACCAACAATTTTGCAGTTTTAACAGTAGTACTTGGCACCACCACATTATATGTCGGTTGTCTAATAGCTTCTCGAGTTTTGCATGACAGCATGCTTATGAATATAATGCACGCCAAAATGAGCTTCTTTAATGTTACCCCTTGTGGGCGAATATTAAATAGAGTTGCTAAAGATGTTGACATTATTGACATAACATTGCCTCCAATATTGCTGTCATGGAATAGATGTCTAATTATGGTAAGTGCTTAGGACAATATCTATCATTTGCCACTAGTACATGATTTGAGTAATAATAAACTTAGTACAACAGAAATGCATTATTCTTGATTAAAATAAAGTTAAATTAAGTATGTTAGTTTTATTTAAAATATTTATTTTTCTGTTAATATCAATTTTGTAGATTGTGTATACAATTTATGTATCATCTACAATTTGGTAAACTTTATTTCTTATGCATGGTTAAAATTGTTATGAAAATGTATTTTTAAATTCTACTATTATTAAATTAAGAAATGTGTATCACTAATCTTATTTGTTTTTAAAGTGGAATGTTACTTTTAATTAATTAATRTTTAAATTTGCTTTATATGTCTAATAATATTAACTTTTCAGTTATTAACAGATTTTGTATGATAGTCGATTATGAATGCCAAACTATCTTATTCTTCAATATTGATATCTATTAAAAATGGGTATATTTCACTTATGTCTGCATTTTTAATTTAGTATTCAATTGATTTTAATATTTATGTAATATATGATTTGTTTCAGTGTATTCAATTCTTAAATGTACAATTTAATATCTGTCAGACAACCTTGMATTTGAGTAGCGTTTTTTTTTCTAAATATTTTCTAAAACCAAAATTGGCATGGCTACAACTATTTTAAATCTGAAAAACATAAGTAACTTTTACAATTTAAAAAAATTAAAAATGTTCATTAACATTAATTTGCTTGTTAATTTATAGTTTAATTAAGTAAACTACAAAATTCAAAATTCACCAACCATCATTTTGGATTAGGACCTGTTTAATATCATGGATATAAAAAAATTAATGATAATCCAACATCACAAATTTCTACC